CCTGGGCTGGGACTGGTCCCGCCAGCGCAGGGTAGCAGGAAGCTCTCCACACACTCACCGGAGCTGGACTAGGACTGGGTCTGGGGGTTCCCGAAGTCGGCAGAATTTCCTACTCGGCAGGAGGGGTGGGGAGGTACTGCAGAGTGGTGTGGGGCGGCCCGAGGGGGTGGGAGAGGGTCCGGCCCACGCTGCGCCTGTGCTGGGACTGGTCCCGCCGGCGCAGGGTAGCAGGAAGCTCTCCGCACACTCACCGGACCTGGACTAGGACTGGGTCTCTCTCCGTCTTCTGCTAGTCTTTTGGAAATGTTTAAACATTTTTTACGACTTTGCAGATAGCAGTTTGAGGATGTTAGGCCGAAGCCATGCAGTCAGGAAGATGAGGTAAAGCATTTACCACTCACCCACCAAGCACAAGTCTCGAGCTACCCACCAGCTTGAGAGGCTAGCTGTTGTTTGCCATTGAACAGATACAAGCATTGTATAGTCATTAATAAGAACCACAGCTGGAGTCTGCAGACTGGCCTGGCTAGAGCATTGCAGCCAAGGGCCTCAGAGTTTAGGCAGGTTTTATCCTGAGGTTTCATGGTGATCATTTTCGAAGATGTAGAAGTGTTTGGAGATTGACAACAGCAGGATGAACAAACATCTCATTAGAAAGAGAAGGGAAGTTTGGCCTGCAGCTTAGTGGCAGAGCACATACTTAGCATGCGCAAGGCCTTGGGTTCAACTCCCAGCATCGAAAGAAACACATAAATGGATGAATACCTTGAGGGGGAGCAGGGAGCAAAGAAACGTGCACTTATAGACAACCAAAGAGGAAACACAAATGATTGATAAACCTGAACAAAATGCTCAACTCAGAACAGAAATGATGCAAATGGAAATATAAGAATATTGAAGATTTGCAACAGTGAACTACAGTGAACTTTATACAGAAGTCTCCACTTGGATACACACACACACACACACACACACACACACTCCATATATTTTGAGCCAGAAATCCTACCTGTAGGAATTTTCCACATGGAATTAATCAAGGATGTGCACAAAATCGCACCACAGAAACATTCAGCATAACACTTTATAATACTTAATTGCAGGAGGAGGGGGAGAGTCAGGAGGAAAGGGGAAGGGATTAAGAAAAGAAGCAAGTAGTACTCTCTACCTATACCCAAAATCCTAAGATAACTGTAAGCTGCATATACTGCAACACATACTAATCAAAAACATTTTATAATACCAAAAAGTGAAAAAAAAATCCTAGGCCATCTCATATTAGTGAATTAGTTTAATAAATTAGGGCTAATAGATGTAACTGAACCTCACAAAAGCATTAAGAATTCAATTGTGAAGAACATTTAATCATGTGAGATGTTCCTATTATAATTGTAAAAAGTTCCCCAAATAGTAAACATAATATGACCACATTTTTGTTGCAAATATTTCTTAATCCATCATTATTTAGAATAAGAGTGACAGCGCTGTACAGCAAAATGTTTGCTTTAAGGGATGCTCTCTTGTAGAAAGAATTGTACATGATGTTTATAAACAGGTAGTACTTTTCTGGTAAGAAAGAAGCCATTTAGAAGAGAGAAGTATTATGAACAAGCCTACCTCTTCAGATGCATTCACTGCCTCTTTCGGTTTTGGTTTGTTTGTATTTTAAGAAACAGTCTTATTATTTAGGTCAGGCTAGCCTTGAGCTCAGAGATCCTCCTGCCCCAGGGGAGGTCACAGGTGTGCACCAAAGCACCTGTCTTCTCTCTTCCTCCTTGTGCTGAGGATGAACATTCTCAGCGTGGAGAGCTGTAACCTTGCCCCTGCCTTGCCTGAGGTTTTCCTGTGTGTCTGTATTCTTTCCTTTCAGGAACACATGGAAAATGAATTCCAGGGGAGGTGAAACAATATCCTGAGTGCTAATAGAGCACAATCCTAGTTAGGAAAATACTTTCGGAGTTTGGCCAGTACCTGCTGGGATTGGGGGGGACCTAGTTTATTGACACTTGGTGAACAAGGAAGAAGGGAACAGAACTCTTCTTCAGTTGAACTCCTTAATTTCCCTCCCTCCTGTCTTAAACCCTCTTAAGTTACAGTTTTATGTGCTCCTTGCCTCCTTGCTTGGAGGAGTCAGCTCTACTTCAGCTGTGTTCCTGGTCCTTTTCACCCCTCTTCCTAGATAGGAGACCTTAAGCCCCCATATCATCTCATCTTCACTTCATCTCACATCCGGTCCATCCTGCACACTGCTTTCTGAGACATATTTCTCCAAACGCAGACCCCATCTTCCCCTTCCTAGCTTACCACCATCAGCATTGCCTACAATGCTGCTGTCCCAATTGAGTCACTTTGGACCTTTAAAAATGCCTTTAAAAAAGGCTTAATAGGAAATATTTATACAAACTTCCTAAAATATCTGCGATCCCTCAAAAGAAGTTTAGCATTGTCAATTGGTGCTTTCTATTTATGATTTCTGTTTACTAACTTAGTTGAATAATCAAAGATGTCTTTGTATAATACAAATTGGTAATAAAAATCATTGTTTATACTTTTGTCACTGAATCTTAAAAGCAGGATAGGGCCTTGGGGATGAGCAGCAGAGAAGGGGTGTGTGACAAAGGGTTTTCCATGCTGGAAAAGTCCAGAAGCCACAGGCTCACAGGCTGAAGTCTCCCTCCTTGGCACAGCAGCCAAGGCTCCCCATCCCACATGTCCCCACTTCTTCCCTGCCAAGAGAGCCAGGGAGGTCCGTCTGTGCTTCCACCACCTCTGGGTTTTGCTTCAGCTACTTCTGCTCTCCTAAGCCCTTCCCTCCCACAAAATATCAGCTCAGTTTTTGAGACCTGGCTTAGAATTCTTCTCCCTGCATAAGCCCTTTCCATTTTGAGTCCAGGTCCTCTATTTAGAGCTCCTTACTTTCAGCTGTATTAAACCAAGGCTTATTATTATTTGTAGCAGGGCTCCTTCCTCCAGCTTCCCCCCTTCCCAAGGAGCACAGTAAGCAGTTACAGTGACTGTTGCCACAGCACCAACTGGGCCCTGACCTTGGTTCAGTCTCCTTGACTGTGTGTTGATCAGCTTGAGTTCCAGAGTGTGATACCATTCTTTGGTGAGAGCCATGTGTGTCACAAAATCGCTGGTTTTCCTCTGAGCAAAGTAACATCTCTCAACAAATAACAGGCTCTGAAACTTTGGAGCAAAGTGTTCCAGTTGGAATTCCTGATCTGCCCCTTACTAGGTGGTGCTCTTAACAAAGTCACTTAATCTCTCTATGTCACAGTTCATCAAGTGAATGATGGGTGTAAATTGTTAACACCCAGGATGGCTTCAGATGTGCACACACAGTAGGCTTTCTGTACATTTTGTTGCCCTCACCATGATAAAGTGACTTGGAAAATGCAATAGCTCTAGGATGCACCATTCCTAGAAAAGAACATGTCAAACTTTCCTTTCAAGAGGGACCTTTGGATTTAGTCTTTAGGGCTGGAGTTTGGCTTTAGACACTGCCCTTCTTCCCATTTCAACCATTACTGCTATCAAAAAATGGCTTTGATTCAGTTCCCACCCATAAAACAACATCCTGACTCATTTTTAGCAAACTTCTGGACATCTGCAATGAAGAGAACAGAATTTTGACCCTTAGAGTTATTTGATTGAGATTCTGACCTTATTTCTTCTTTAAAGAACTTCTTGCAAATAGATGTCCCAATGCAGGCATTGCATTTATCAAGACCGAGGAAGGTCCGTCCCAAATGGTAGCTGGTTCTGACTCGGGGCACCAGAGAAGGAGGGGGAGAAGCTGGCGAGGAGAGAGAACAGCTCAGGGCTGAGAGCCCCAACAGCAGCAGGGCCAGCCAATGCAGGCAGCGAGCTGCAGCCTCAGGCCCCAGCTCAGGCTCCATCCCGGCTCAGGCTGCACCTTCAACTGCCACGCAGGCCTGCTCTGAGGCTTGGCTGGAGAGGAAGGCCACGGAGCAGTGGGCTGGGCTTCAGGGTGCTGACCTCACTCCAACCTCCCAGGTTTCTGTTTGAGGATGCTGATCTGCTCAGGGCTAATGAGGCCAGGGAGGAGGTGAGGAAGTCCATGGAGGATGCTGATAAGGTGTTTCCAGAGTCACTCTTCCTCTGCCTGGGGCAGCTGCCTCAGCCCGGGGGAGCAGCTCACTGACACATTTCGGAAAGGACAATGGTAACAGCTTCCCCCGTGGTCCTCTCGACAAACACAGGATATCCCAGCTGGGCAGGAAAGGTCCATGCAGGATGTGTGTTCAACCTAAGTTCCACCTGGGGGTTTCAAAGTGTCCCAAAGGCCTCCACCCACTACTGTTTTCATTCTGGGTATATCTGCTCCTGTGAATCACACACACACACACACACACACACACACACACACACACACACACCCCAGTATTCCCCTTCTGCACTGAGTAATCTGTCTTGTCCTTTAACCAGCTATACTTCCCCCATTTTACCATATTCAGCTGTAAAATAACTATTGCATGATTTCTTAGCCATTAAGTGTCACATTTAATGTGAATTTGAAAGGACAAGGCCTTCTAGTACTTAAGGAATAGAGAACTCTGGGTTTACCCATTTTCTTTTGCTAATCTGAGGACAAAAGAGAGGCAAGAACCTGGTGGCCTCTGTGGTGAGGAGAGCACCAGAAAGATCCTCTTGCCTGTGCCCAGTGTGTCAGTCTCTGTTGCCAAGGCCCGAAAGCCCCTCTTTTCTCTTCACCCTGCCTCCCTTCTCAGCAGCCGGTCCAACTTGGGAAGCCAGGACTGCCACAGGATTGCCTTCCTTTGCCACCGACAGAAGGGGGACAATGTGAAGTAGATGTAAGCGCTGATGTGGAAACAGAGTCAGCAGGAAGGCAGCTCACCTGACTTTGTTCAGGAGGCTGGGGTGAGTGTGCTTGGCCAGTTTGAGAATATAAGAAAGTGCATGAGGTGGGGTGGAGAGAGAGAAAATAGGAGGTCAGTAGAAATGGCAACAGTCTGGGGAGAAGTAATGAATTTGGGTAAACACTGGTGCAAAAAGCAGGGTTAAACAGTTCTCTGGTGATTAAGCAGGTGCTTATCAGCCATCTGTATACTTTCCTTGGCAGAATATCTGGTCACATTTGGTTTTTGTTGTTGAGTTTGAGACCATTTTTTTTTTTTTTTTGTACATTCTAGATGCTAGGCCTTTGTTGGCTATGTGGTGTTACTGTTTGGATCTGGAATGTCCTCTACAGGCTTATATATTGGAGACTTGCTTCCCAGCCCATGATGCTTTTGGAAGGTGCAGGGATCTAAGAGGTGGGACTTAATGGGAGGTCTTTAGGTCATTGGGAGCTTGCCCTTAGCGGGGATTATGGGACCACCAATCTCTCACTCTTCCTGTCTCTTTCTTCTCCTACTATGAACTCTGCTCCATCACATATGCTTCCATGATGTGCTTGTCTAGCTGCAAGCCCCAAAGCAACAAGCAGGGCCAACTGACTGCAGTCTCCAAAACTGTGAGCCCAAACAGCGATTGTCATGTTATAAGTTTATTAGTTCAGGTATTTGTTACAGTAACAGAAAGCTGATTAACATGCATTACTTACGAACATCTCTCAGACAGAAACTTGTCTTTCATCCTCTTAACAGACACTTTTGCAGAGTAAAAGTTAAGAATTTTGCTGATATCCAATTTGTTATGTTTTCCTTTATGGATCATGCTTTTGGTTTCAAGTATGATCAAAGGAAAACTTAAACACATTTAAATTTTAAAGAGTGAGTATTCAGCAATTCATAAATCAAGGCAATACCAGATCCTAAATGGCAAGCACCTTCCTGAGAGAGACAAAGGGGGAAACTATTATTTTATAAAGCATTTGCAGAAACAAGACAAAGAAAACAATTTTGCTTAGTTAGAGTGTAACTTCTCCAGCTAGAGATCAATTGGTTGTTTCTCACTGACAGCTTCTAATTTCGACTCACTGTTTTCATTGGGTTTTGGCTTGTTCATGTGGGGATTTTATTTATTTATTCATTCATTTTCATTCATTCATTCAGTGTTCGGAATTGAACTTGAGGCTTTACACATGCTAGACAAGTGCTTACCACTGAGCTATCTCCTCTGCCCTATGAAATAACTTAAAGTACCAGAACTACCCCTATCTAATGCCCTCCTGGTTACAGTTTTTAAAATAACTGTAAGAGCTTTTCCTAATCCTATATCCTAAAAATCTATTTTAGGGTTTTTAATGAAAGTTTCATAGTTTTACATTTAAATCTATGGTACATTTTCAGTTAATTTTTGTGTCAAGCATGAGGTTAGGTCAAGCTTCATATTTTGATAATAAAAGTCCAACTGCTCCTGAGCCATTTGTCAAAAAGTTTATCCGTCTTCCACTGATAAATGTTTTTGCAACTTTGTAAAAAATCAGTTATCTGTACTTGCATGTGGGTATTTCTGGGCTTCTCTATTCTCCTTCGTTGATCTTTGTGTTTGTTCCTTTTTCAACACTGCCTAATTTTTTTTGTTGTTGTTTTTTAGGAAGGGTCTACAGGGTGCTCAGGGTCACACTACTAGATTGGACTCGTAGTGATCCACCTGTTTACAGGCTTCCAAGAGCTGGGATTACAGGTGCGCGCTGCCATGCCCACTCTTATACTACTTAATCTTAATTGCCATAGCTACATATCTTGAAATTGAATAGTGACTCCTCCGACTTTCTTTTGTAAAATTATGTTAGCTTTTCTAGTTTGTCTTTTCTTCTACTATTTATTTATTTATTTATTTATTTATTTATTGTATTTGGTTGTTGCAGGGTCTCACTACGCAGCTCGGACTCATGGTGATCGGCCTGCTTTCAGCCTCCCCAGTGCTAGGATCACAGGCATGCCCCACTGTACCAGGACTCTGGCCAGGTCAACCCACCCTGGAGGTGGGGCTGGCATGGCATGTGGTGCCAGGGGTTGATCTGTGGTCTCTGAGCTTGCCTGAGCTTGCCTATGCAGGCTTTTTAGTCTGCTGAGCTATCTCCCTGGCCCATCTTATACATTTTAGAATTATCTTGTCTATATTTTAAAAAAAAGCTTCCAGAGATTTTTGATAGGAATTAGGTTAAATTTGTGTAGCACTTTGGGGATAACTGACCTCTTTGTTACATTGAGAATTCAAATTCATGAAGACTGTATATCTCTCAACTTAGTTATATCTTCTACTGAGCTATATTCCTGGCTCATCAACTTAGTTATATCTTCTTTGATTTTTTAAAAATCAGTTTTTTAGATTCCAGAATTTCAGTTCTATAAATGATATTATGCCTTTAAATTTTATTTATTTATTTTTAGTTTTCTTGAGACAGGGTCTTGCTATGTAGTGCAGGCTGGCCTTAAACTTGGCTATATAGTCCAGGCTGGATTCGAACTCATGGCAATTCTCCTGCCTCAGCCTGTAGAGTGCTGAGATTACAGGTGTGTGCCACCACTCCTGACTTTATTTGAATGGACAAAATTGTACATATTTATTTGGTTTGACATGTTCTTTAAAAAATATATATGCTCTAAGGTCAGCTAAGACTCAGGACATATGAGAACTTGTACTATAACATCATGTAACTTGGTAGTGTCCCAAATTTTCTGATCAAGGAGATTATGGGGCCAAAGAGGAAAGTGATCGATGATGTAGAGTGTGCCTAAGGAGAGTCACATGG